AAAGTTTGTCACTTCAGTTATTTTCTTGCCCAGCTTTAAGAAAATGAGAAAGATACACTCCGTATATGCTAGCAAGCAATGGGATGGAACAGGAGAGTGTCGATACTGTTTTTAAATGATGTAATGTACTAGCCAGGGCATATGGTCTCTTAACTGCTTCAGGCTTATACTACTGTTCAATTCCAACTCCATTAAATGTCAAGCCAATCTTTCAAACTATTCTATACTCAAGCCAATCTTTCAAACTATTCTGTACTCATGCTGAAATTATCCCATTAAAAACTCCTTTCACTGTTATTAAGTCAGAGGTTGTTATGGTCAGAGACTGTACAACTTATACTGGCCTGACAAGCAAGTTCAGATCTGTTCATTAAGTTCTTTCCACCAAGTGGCCCACTCTCTGATTTATGGTTCTAAAATTAAATATGAAGTTTTAGGAAGGCAGAATAAAGCTGGGGGGGGGCACACTAACCTCTATGGCAGGGGCCCATACGGTAAATGGATGATTGCCATAGACACTAACTTTCTGTCTTCTAGGATGTGTCAAATAACATATACAAAATATTACACAATAGGTTAAAAAAACCCCTCTTCTACAAATGCTACTGACAGAAGTCTATGAAAATTAATGACCAGCTTCCATAATGGATGTGGCACTCTCTGGCACTAAAAGGTGAGTAGGACTCAAATTGTACAAAACAGTCAGTATGATCTTGGGTATGGTTGCTTTACTTCCCTGTCAGTACAGCTACCAAGATTTTTTTTAGATTGACACACAATAAGTTCACATGACAAATTTTTCAAAAGCATCTTACAAAGGCACAGTTTCTTTTCCCAATGGTGGATTCATTATATAGTCCTTTGTAATGGGTTTAACCCACAATAAGACCATAAGCAGGGGTGACAGGAAGTTTATGTGCAGCAGAGTTCTGAAAGTTAAGAACAAAAGAAAAACCTGTTATTCTCACAGAAAACATATTAGCCAAGTTCATGGACAACTACATATTGAAAATAAAGTAGACAGGCATAAACTACTTCGTAACTATTCTAATACATAAAAAAATGCATTCTAAAAAGTTAGTTGCAGCAGTTTTTAAACTGTCTTCAATGAAACTTTGCCTTGGGGGTTCCTATGAAACTTGGAGAAAAGTGTGGTTCTTGAGTGAGAACTTAAAACACACACACATCATAAAAGTGCTACTGCCCAATCTTTGAAAGCTCTATAACAGGGGTGTCAAACTTGTGGCATACAGGCCAGATCAGGCCCCAGAGGGCCCCAATTCGGCCTGCAAGGCCCTGGCTTATTCCTGCTTCATTTTTCAGTTCTGCTGCTGCCACTATGTCAGAGCTTACTTTACTGGACTCTCTCAATCGCACAGGAGAGATAGATAGGCAAGCCTGGTAAAGAACTGGCTGAGGATCTTCCCCCTCCTTCTCTCAGGGGGAGGGAGGCAGCAGCCAGAGCTCGCTTCCTGGCCAGGCTGCAGGAGACAAAGGAAAGCCTTTCTTCCCTTCCATTGGCTGAGGCTCCTCCCTGAAGGGAGGGAGGGAATGAGGGAGAGCTTGCTTTGCTGGGCTCCCTGAATTGCATGGGAGAAATACCAGGCACCTTTAAGACCAAGAAAGTTTTGTTCAAGGTATGATCTTTTGTGTGCCTTGCTACAGTGTGTGTTTTGTTGGGCTCTTTATGCCAGGGCAACTGAGTTCCCTCCCCCTTTTCCCTGTATTCATGCCCTCATGACCCTTCTTTCTCAACAGGAAAGCGATGTGAACTATTTCAGAAGAGGAATAACAACAAGCCACTGAGGCGGATTAGGCTGAGAGTGTGTGTCCAAAACGAAGTTCACCCAGCAGAGATTTCCTTTGTAGGAAGTTGTAGTGATTTCTCTGTGGAAGACTATAGTTTTGTAGACAAACACATAGGCCCTCAGTCTGTGTCAGGATGCCTTCTTATGTTCTTGACCAGCACATGAAGCAGCTTATGTACAAAAGCTTGCAATGCCCAGCCATTTCATGCTTCCCCCTGGGTACTAGGCTCAGAACACTGAGCATGAGATTTCTGTAATGAATGTCAATAAATCAAAAGTCAGTTTGCAGCTTATGCACCTGAACAGCTGTCAGCTAAGGCTGCCATGGTTTGGAATGTGTGGGTTGCTCTCCTTGTCTCCCTCCACCCATCCCCCTTTCCTTTTAGGCTGCGCGCTGTTATCGGTCTAGTGTCCTTGAAGCCTCTACTCTGCCTGCTCCTATTTGCCCGTGTCTTCAGGTGCTTGCCTATTGGCTTTACTATATTCAGGGGGTCATGTATGAAGGGGGTATATCTGAAGGTTCTAATCATATTATTCCGCCATTCCTGACACAAGTGTTCATGGTGTCCTGAGTACTAGCTCTCAATAAACAAACTTCTGAAGGAACATTATTGAGTGTCTTGACTGGGAAGCCTGACAACAGCATACTCAAGATTGCTACAGCACAGACATTTTGATGCAATAATTCAGAGCAAGAGATTGTTAAATAGACAAAATATTGCAAGAGTGCTAATGTTTTAAGTACAAAATCTTTAATTGTGTTTGTGTTCTTTATAAAGTTTATATCTCCACTACCTGGCGGTACATTTTATGACACACATGGCCCGGCCAAACAAGGTCTCATTTATGTCAGATCCAGCCCTCACAACAAATGAGTTCAACACCCCTGGCTCTACAACATTCACCCTTGAGCTGGTTCGTGATCTAGGAAATCCTCCAGAATATGCAAAGATTCTGTGGCAAGTGTGTTTCTAAACAGTTAACACAGACAATCTAATGAGGAAAGCCTTCCTTGTAAGAGGAGTCTGTAATCCATGGTGTTTAGGTGTTTTCATGAACTGAGACGTATTTCACAACAACAGATTTTTGGTGATTGTGCCATGAAGGGAAACAAATAAAACAGAACCCTGAAACAGGCTCTGTATAACATTTTACCCAGAAAATTTTAGCAGCCATGTATAAAGAAATCTCCCTGATTTGAAATATTTGGGCAATGATGATAGAAAGGAGCAGCTGACAGAGAACAGTAAAGGCAGCCATAGTAGAAGTAACAGACCAAGGAAAAATTTTGGAGGTCATCTTTGATCATGCCCTATATATAAGCATGCCCAGTAACTGAGTTGTTGAAAGATTATTCTCATAACATGCATAATCTACATTTGAATTCATAACAGTGTACCACCATACTCCATGCTCAGGTTACCACAGGGAAAAACAGGTTGCTTACCAGTAACTGGTGATCTTCGAGTAGTCATCTGTGCATTCACACCCATGGTATCTAGCGCGCACGCACTAGATCAGTCGGTGCTGTAGCAAACATTTTAACGGATTTTCGCGCCCAGTCCCTCAGGCATGCGCAGGAACCCCACCACGCATGCCCAGGGGGTGGGCGCGGACATCCTACTGGTAAGCAACCTGTTTATCTTCGACGTGTTCTCTGTGCTTCACACCAATGGGAGATTAGCGAGCAGTAGCCTACCTGGAGGAGGGTGCTGGCAAGTCCTTTACTGCGTAGCCGAAGACAGAATACGACGTCCCATGTTGGTATTAGAGTTCTTTCGGACGTCTAGGGCATAGTGCCTGATGGTGTTAGGCGTAGCCCAGGTAGCGGCTTTGGAAATGTCCGGCAGTGGTACTCCCTGGAGGAAGGCAGTGAAAGTCGCGACAGCCCTGGTAGAATGAGCCCTGATAGGGCCAGGCAATGGCTGTTTGGCGAGTAGGTAACATAGATGGATCAGATGCAAGTACCCAGCCGTGGAGAAGCGTATGAGAAGAATAGCTGTGAGTCTCAACTAGTTGGGAGTGTTCTGTTGAACTAGAACAGGAGAGCCTGCTTCACATCTAAAGTGTGTAATAGCTTGTCTTCCACTGATGTTGGATTTGGGAAGAAGTCAGGAAGGAAGACCTCGGCCAGCAGGTGGAACTCTGACATCACCTTCGGCAGGAGGGAAATGTCCGGTACGAGGCAGACTCCATCTGGCAAAAAAGACAGGTAAGGCGTATCATGGCGGAAGGCCAACAGTTCTCCCACTCGCCTAGCCGAGGTAATGGCAATTAAAACTGCTGTTTTCCATGCCAGGAGTTTGAGGTCGCATGTTCCAAGCGGCTCAAATGGCTTTTGTGTAAGCTGGCGGAGAACGAGGGGAAGGTCCCAAGGAGCTACTGGAGCCTTGACAGGAGGGTAGAGGTGTAACAAACCTTTTAAATACCGTTTAGAAATCGGATGAGAAAACAAAGTCCATCCGTCAACTGGAACATGGTAGGCCGAAAGAGCGGCCAAATAAACTCCTAACGATGAATGGGAAAGTCCCAAGTCATCTAGGGTGAGGAGGAATTGGAAGACTCGTTCGAGACCCACAGAGGTGGCTCGAGGGGCGTCATCTCCAAGTGAAGAGCAGAACCTACACCATTTATAATCGTAGGACCTCTGCGTAGTGGGTTTCCTGGAATTCAACAGGACATTCCTTACATGGACGGAGAAGCCAATGTCATTATCCTCCATGCTGTCAATTTCAGCTGTGGCATGTTGTTATGTAGGACGGGGGAGCTGGAGAGGAGGAGGTCCGGAGTCGGAGGAAATTGATGGTAAGTTCCCTGTGATAGCTCAAGGACTGTTGAAAACCAAAGTTGTCTTGGCCACCATGGGGTTATTAAGATACAGTCCCCGTTGTCGTTGAGAACCTTGCAGACCACTTTGAGAAGCAGAAGTAAGGGGGGGAAGAGGTAAAGGAGTCCTGTAGACCAAGGGCAAAGGAGGCCGTCTCCCAGAGATTGTGGGTCTTTGCCTCCTCGACTGCAGAACAGAGGACACTTTTTGTTGTTTCATGTGGCAAACACGTTGACTTGGGGAGCTCCCCACTTGTGGAAGAGTGGGAGGAGGTATGTCGGGTTCATCCCCCACTCTTGTAGGTTGAGTCCCGCTCGACTTAGGTGGTCTGCTTGCACGTTCGTGTGACCCGGAATGTGAGTGGACACAAGGAATATATCACTGGCTATGCATAAATCCCACAATTGGATGGCAAGGTTGCATAGGCAAAGGGACACTGTGCCTCCCTGCCTGTTGACGTAGGAAAGCGCTGTGGTATTGTCCGTGAGGACAGTGACACATTTTCCCTTGATCAACGGTAGGAAACTGGCTACTGCATGTCGTATAGCCAGCAGTTCTAGGAAGTTTATGTGATGCTTCCTCATCCGTGCGTCCCATTTGTCTCCAACCGAGAGGCCCATGGAGTGTGCACCCCATCCTGTCAGGGAAGCATCTATCGTTATGGTGAGCTCGGGCGATGGAGGGTGGAAGGGCGCTCCCTGGAGGATATTCAAAGAGACAGTCCACCAAAGTAAAGAGTCCTGTATGCTGGGAGGAGGGGATAGGACAATAATGTGTGCGTTTGTTGACAGGTCGTAATAGCAGATGAACCAGAGTTGTAAGGGGTGCATTTTGAGTCTTGCAAAGACGAGAACTGACGTAGTTGCAGCCATGAGGCCAAGCCGCCTCTGCATTTGGAAGGCAGTGACAGAGGTTTGGGTATGGACGACGGTGGCCAAGGAGATGATATCTGTTGCCCTGTCGTTGGGCAGGTAAGCCCTGCATGTCTGAGAATCCAGTATTGCGCCGATGTATTGTATGCGCTGGACCGGACACAATTGGGACTTTTGCCGATTGACTAGCAGGCCGAGATTGTCCAGTAGTGTTAGAGTTTCTGTGACACTGCAGACCAGGGTATTCCTGGAAGGTGCTACCAGGAGCCAATCGTCTATATAAGAGACGCCAATGTTGGATCAGGCCAAAGGCCCATCCAGTCCAACACTCTGTGTCTCACAGTGGCCAGAAATACCAGTGCCATCAGGAGGTCCACCAGTGGGGCCAGGACATTAGAAGCCCTCCCACTGTTGACCCCCCCATATGGGTAGATGGAGATACCCCTGAGACGAAGGAAAGCTGCAACCACAATCATAGTCTTTGTGAAGACCCTTGGGGCGCTGGCCAGGCCGAATGGAAGGGCCGTATACTAATAGTGCTGTTGACCAATCGCAAAGCGTAGGTATTAGCGGTGGAAGGGATGGATAGTAATGTGGAAAGGTTGAGGGTGGCCATGCAGACGTGTCTCTGAAGCAATGGCATGATCTGTTGTAGGGACACCATGCGGAAGCGGTGGTGGGTCACAAAACGATTCAGTTCCCTGAGATCTAATATGGGTCAAACGCCTCCCTCTCTCTTCGGGACTGTGAAGTATTGGGAATAAAACCCCATCCCTCGGAGGTGTGGTGGTACTTGTTCGATGGCTCCCTTCTGCAGAAGGACGGAAACCTCCTCGAGAAGAGGTGGGGAAGGGGGCGTGGAGACGACAACAGGAGTATTGGAGTTCTGTTGGAACTGAATTTTGTAGCCTCGGGACAAGATGGACAGCACCCACTCATCCGAGGTGATGTGATGCCAATTTTGCAGGAAGGGTGACAGACGGGTTTGAGCTGACTCGGTGACTGGGAAGTCAAAAACCCTGCATGGAGGGTTTGGACTGTTTGGTGCAAGAAGCTTGTTGTCCTGAGCCAAATTTTGGTTTATGGAAGGCAGATTTTTGGCCTCCGGAGGATGTTCGTGGTCCCTATCGTGTATCTGGAGATTGATGAGTTGGGGTACGCCTCTGCCAGGAACTCGACCAGGTGCGAGGACGGTAGTGTTGTCTTGCAGAAGAAGATACCCCTAGAGCTCGAGATGCCTTTATACTCTTATCTAACTCCTGCAGAGTAGTATCAGTAGTGGCATTAAAGAGGAAGGTCTTCCATCATAAGACCTAGTGTCTAATGGGAGGTTAGTGTTGCGGAGCCAGGAATGTCTTCTGAGAGCTATTGCAGAAGCCATCGTTCGTGATGATGCTTCGAGGACATGTTTGGTAGTGTTGAGCTGTTGTTTTGCCAACACCATGCCTTCTTTTTGGATGACTCTGGCCGCCTGAAGTTTGTCGTCCGGGAGGTGGGTAAGGAGTTCAGAGAACCTTTCCCAGAGAGTATACTGATATCGGTTCATACAGGTCAGGTAGTTAGAGGCCTTGACTGCTAATGCTCCTGTAGAGTAGAAGCACCTGCCGAAGGCATCCAATTTCTTACCCTCCTTATCTGAAGGAGTGGAATGGGTTCTTTTAGATTTTGAGGAGGAAGTTATCACCATTGAATTAGGCTGTGGGTGAGAGAAGAGGAATTTGGCATCCGACTCTTGGACTCTGTACATGTGATCCAATTTCCTTGTGGATACAGGAGCAGAGGAAGGCTTTAGCTATGGTGATTTTGCTGCCTGCAGTGGTACCGAGGACATGGGCAATGCCAAGATGGGCGAGGTATCGAGCTGAACTATGTCGTAAACAGAATCTGTCACCTGCGGGTGTTGCTGGACGACAGAGAGACCTAAAGAGTGGACCATTCTCTTGATTAAATCAGTGTAGGAGGTAAGGTTGTCCGATGGAGATACAGGTAAGTCTTCCGCAACATCTTGGTTGGGAGATGCATGGTCTGGAGAGGTATGAGCCTCAGAAGCCTCCGTATCTGAGTCCTCTTCCATGAAATCAGAGGAGTCTTGTTGTGGTATGTGGACCGAAGTGTCCTATTGAGAAGGTATTGGTTTAGTTTGGATGACAGGGTTTGTAGTGACAGGAGGATTGAGCGGACGACTTGGTTCCAGAGTCTGGTGGGACGGATCAACTATAGGAGGACGTGACAGAGATGCTGAAGGTCTCGACTTGTGTGGTGATCGCGACCTATGAATGGAGTGGGTCGAGTAGCGATCCCAATCAGAATAGCCCGCTGGAGTCAACCACGGCATGGACGGTGGATAAGCCCCATAGAGGTACATTAGCTGTCGTTGATCCCACAGTATTGGGGGGGTGGAGGTAGAAAGACTCTGGGGAAGCAGCTTCTGGACCTTGGACGTCTAGGAGACAAGGCAGTAGCTTGTCTGCGTGAATTGTCCCTGTAATGTCGGTCGTCGATATCGACAGATTGAGTGAGCAGACGAGGAGGGTGACGCTGCGTGTCACACAAGGTATATTGGTGCCGATGTGGATCGATGTCGGGAGCTTCCGATACCGTCGATATCGACGACGGAGGAGACGGAGAACGCTCTGCATCCATCTGATGACTTAGGAGCTGTACCGTTTCGATGTCGGAGTAAGGAGGCTTCAATTGCTGGACAGGGGAGTCCAATACATGGATAGTCGGTATCAGTGGGGGGATTTGGGCCTCCGATATCGATACTGCCGCTGGAGCGGGAGGCACTATAGGGGCATCACCCAGTGCAGTCCTTCCCCTTCTTCGCCGCTGTATAGAAATATTGATTTCTAAAAGCCCCTGCCTTCCCCTGGAATGTTTTGCTGATGTGCTGTATTTCCTGTTGAAGCCCATTACAATACCATAAACCCACATTCTTCACACTTCCATGCTGGAAGAGACTAGATGGCCCTGCCAAACAAGCAGGCAGTCACGTACAGAATGAAGTTTGGGGTTCGGGGGGGTCAAAGCTACCATGAGAACCCAAAAGTTGGACACACCCTTCCTACTCGCAGTTGGCTGAATGGCCACAGCTGATTGTGACTAGATTGGGGTTTAATTGTCTGATCCCTTGGAAGAGAGCTCTGTTCTGTCTCTGTTCCTGCTTGTGAGATCTCTGATGGACACCTGAAATGCTGTCCTGCCATGCTGTCTCTGGGAGAGAGAAAGAACTCCTTTGTGAAGCTGAGCACATGGCTGCATGCTTGCACAAAGATGGAATTCCAGCTATTACAAATCCCTTGGTGTCTAACTGGATTATTTGGACTGATGCTATCCTGCATGTGGTAACTATGATTTATTAATGTGTAGTTAAGGCACACTGCCTTAGGTTTGTTATTAGGTTTGTTATTTTGAAATCCTTCTAGTCTATAAGTTGTTCTCTACTAAAACTTATTCTGGTTTATAACTTGTCTGTATTGTTGTAACTGAATTCTAAGCCTAAATCTTGCAGCCTAACTAACTACACGCTACCATTGAGTATTAAATGTGCATCTGGTGGCTATTGTTCTGAAATCCAGAGAGCCTACCTCTCTGGGTTATTGTATAATGTATTGAGCCAGTATAGGTTTCTCCCTCATTCCTGGACAGGCTTGGAGGGAGAATCTATACAGCCACCTTAAGGGACTTGGAGGTGCCCTTCTTCGCGGACTTATGCTCTGTATTTGCCTTAGCCTTCTTTTTGATTGGCGTGGAGGTGGACGATCGTGTCTTCGATGTCGAGGGCTTCGGTATCGGGCAGTCGACATCGGAGGCAGGTCTCGATGCTGGAGCTGCCGATGTAGATGGTCTCTCCTCCATCGCTGAGGCAGGAGCAAGGGCTGATTCAAGGAGCGCCACTTTAAGGTGCACAGCGTGGTTCTTTCTCGTTTGGTTAGAGAAGCGAGCGCAGTGACGACAGGACTCCAGGTTGTGAGACTCTCCAAGGCAAAAAATGCAGAGGGTATGACGGTCGGGAGGAGCAAGTTTGCTACCACAACGTTTGCATGTACTGAAAAATCCCCACTTCTCCATAAGAAGAGAAGTGGAGGGAACGGTTGAGAGTGGGGGAGTGGCCCAAAGGGCTGAGGTAAATTCCCCTCAGAAGAAAATAAAGGTTTTGCTTTTTTAAAGTTTTTTTAAGAACAAATCACAAAAAAAGATAAAATAAAGAACGGAAATAATTCCTAAGAGCTGTGAGGCAAAAGCGAACAGCGAACCGATCAGACCGACGAAGAAAGAGGTCTTTCCAACACGGCGGTAAGAAAGGAACTGGCGGGATGTCCACACCCACCTCTCTGGGCATGCGCGGTGGGGTTCCTTCGCATGCCCGAGGGTCTGGGCGCGAAAATCCATTAAAAGAGCTTGCTACAGCACCGATCGATCCAGCACGTGCGCACTAGATCCCATGGGTGTGAAGCACAGAGACCACGTCGAAGATCTGAAGAGCAGCTCATTAAACAAAATACATCCTCATTTTGATTTTCAGAAGTTTCTTCACTTCTTGCCACTTGTTCAGAACATAGCTAGCAGCAAGGTTGCTTGCCACAGTTTAGGAAGCCACAACCTAGTCTTTCCTGCGATCTTTTAACTTATTCATGGCACCTGGTGGCTATCTGTACTCATATGCCACCTGCTATTTGAGGTTCCACGAATGACAGTGGACTATTAAGAGTTTACTGTAACAGATGTCTCAAATGTCTTACTCGATGCAGATGTTAACTTCTGTTTATCCCACACACACCTCTGGGTCCAAAGATAATTTTATCCTCCTTATGTTCTTCAGTTACTCTACCCTTTCATCTTGATCAAAAATTTCCTTCTTTTAAAATGCTTTAACAGTGATTTTAAATTATGGTTCTACTGCACTTTCATTGTATTCCATTTTACATAAAGTGCCCTGAAACAGCAGTCTGTCTGAAAAAGGAAGAAGTTCTATATAGAAAAAGACTACTATTGGAAGATCAAGATGTGATTAAGTTAATCTATACGGTGCAGCTTACTGAGTGATTTTTTCTGGTGCTAAACTCAAAGCATCCAGATGCATCTGAGCCAGTCGCAATCCAGGGAATGTCAAAAAAGCACCAATAAGAGAACAAAGAACAGCCAGGAAGAGCTTGAATGTTAGTTTAGAAACAGGCCCCCTAGAAAGAAACACACATAAATTAGTTAAAGACATGGTACATGATTTGCTCTTTCCACTCGCACAGTAATGGGAGAAGAAACACCTACCAAAGCCACATTTCCTTTCAGCTCTTGAGGAATAACCCTATTACTGAATTATACTTGAAAATCAGAAATACGAAACCATACAGATGCATCATACAGGAAAACAACTTTGTAGGGGTTAACCAAAAAAAACAGGCATAACCTTCTTTGGAGGTTTTTAAGCAGAGGCTAGATGGCTATCTGACAGCAATGCTGATCCTGTGAACTTAGGCAGATCATGAGAGGGAGGACAGGAAGGTTTGCTTCATGCATAGTTCTTGTGGCCCTTTCTTAGACACCCAGGGATATGCTTATCGCACTTTGGGGTCAGGAAGCAATTGTTCTCCAGGCCAATTTGACCAGAGATCCTGGAGATTTTTTTGTCATCTTCTGGGCACAGAACAGGGGTCACTGGGAGTGTGTGTGTGTGTGTGTGGCGGGGAGGGTTATTGGTGAATTACCTGCATTGTGCAGGGGGTTGGGACTAGATTACCCTGGAGGTCCCTTCCAACTCTATATTCTACTTCATGAAATTAAAAAATAGCCAAAAAATACAAGTGGTAGTTAATGTAAAATAAGGATTTTTATTTCGTTTCTTCTGGCATACCTCCAATAACAGTTATTGGTCATTCTAGTATTGTTTATGTTTTTTAAAATTGGATTTTATATTTTAACTGAATTTTAGTTCTTTAAAAGTTTTAATGTTTTTATGTTCACCACCTAGTGGACCTGATTAGGTGGAAAGGTGGCATAAAAATGTTCTAAATAAATAAGTAAGCAAAGTACAGGGTCCATAAATCTGGGCTGAAACTGATAGCCAACCACTGCTTCCAGTAGCTTGACTTTCTTGTCTCCTGTCCAACAGAGGCAAAGCTGAGCTGGCCTACAGTCCAGCAAGGGGGTTCACAAAACAATAAAAGTGGACAAATGCAAGAATGTGTGTATTTGTGCACTGGGGGGGGGCGATACTGTAGTCCCCATTGCAGCATCAATGGCATGGATGTATCACAGCACAGAAGAGAACCCAGAGCAACAGTGACAGATACACAACTCGTTCCCTAAATTGCTCATTAAACTTGTGGTCACCTAGAAGCTATGATTATGGACCAGTGAAGAAATATCACCATAAGCTGCAAGTTGCTTTGACCTATCTACTAGGGCAGTGAGATTAAGGAGGACGATTGGCTTTCTGTACCTTTTAACAGTTGAACAGCTAGGAAAACTCTGCAAAATAAGTTGCTCATGTTGAAATTCTCTGTTCTGCATAGCTATTACAGGTACAGGAACCCAGTCTTCTTTTACATCTGGTCATTTTTTCCTCTCTACAAAGAAATGTGTAACATAGCTCCAACCTAGGAACGGATGTTTACAAAAGAGTGTTTACCATCAATTCAAAATAGAGAGTAGTGGCTGGCATCAGGAAGTGCCTACACAGTAGTCTAAGGTTCCAGCACAGTGTCCATCATGCATGCATACTGAGGTTTCTACAGTTGGCATGAAGACCAGCTCCTCATTCCCCACCCTATGCCACTTCCAAAAGCAATTTCCAATAGTTTTAGAAGCTGTTGGGTTTTGTAGCAAGAACTACTGTAGTGAAAATAACTGAAATCTTTAAGGTAGTTGAACATCAAAAGGGAGGGTATAAATATTTTAAACAAGTAAAAATGAAGAACTTGCAGCTCTTGGTACATGTGTCTTTAGTTTAGGGATTCAAAGTCCTTAAAAGAACTAAAAACACATTATAGAGTACATTGGTCTTAAAATATCTCCTCTTAAGTCTCACACATTTTTGTCTAGCAATTGGTAGGTTATACTTACCGTGATTCTAATCCTTGTTTTTCAAAAAACTGCACAGCACTTTCTGAAAAATTTGAGAAGCCTGCGGGTGGAAAAATTTAGCACATGGTAAATGCAGACTTTCAAAATGCCAGCAATCAGAATGTTTTAGAAGTAATTTTCAGGTGCCTGACTTTTCCCATTTGGTAATGAAAATGCCACAATACAACTAATAACAGGTTCAGGTCTGACAATATTCCTTTGTATAGTCTGTAAGCATGAAGCAGCTATGTTAGTTCTTAAATGATGTAATACATATACATTGGAAGTGCAGTGAACAAATCCTCATTGATCTTAAATAGTGCTGGAACACAACCAGAGAGTAACCAATCCATAAGAGAGGTACTTCAGTCAACTGCAATGACTGGAAAAGTGCTCAGAATCGAAAATAGGTTAAAAGCTGAAAGGAGACCACAGTAATAGTAATAGACAATAACAGTAAAAGCATCAACAATGAAGCAACTCCTCATACATATACTGTTAAGTTAATCAGAATATTGCTATAAGAAAGTATTGTGTTACCTGATTCGAGTCCAAATTCTAAATAGTTTTCTGTTACTATTAAGATTGCCATTGCTTTAACAAAGAAAAAGAAGCCGAATGTCACACAGAGTGATCTTTCTCCAGCATCTTCTACTTTGAAGTAGTGTGTGGTCAATGAGAACAATACTTTGCTACATGAGAAGAGTCAAGGAAAGTCCATTTTGTAGAGCCCTAAGAATCAACCTCAATATGTTGGCACTGTAGGAAAAAACCATGTTCAGAGAGTCGATCCATTTTGTAGAGCCCTAAGAATCAACCGCAATATGTTGGCACTGTTCAGAGAGTCAAGTATATTACTTAGGAAATCACAAGTGAGCAAATTTGTTTAATACATTTGTATACTTAAATACTAAGGAATCTGAAGGCATTGGACTGGATCCAAAGAACAAGACAAGTGATTTTAAGCACTGAAGGGGACCTTGGGCTCAGGTTCCATAAACAGCAGTCACTCTTCCCTGCCTCCTGCAGTGATAAGTGACAAGCTACTCTTAAAAGCAGCTGCAACTTTTAAACAGTTTGTAACACTGAGGATCAAAAATGCCACAAGCTAAGAGTAGTTGTTTGGATTTCAGCTATCAGATGGAAACCACTTTAATTTCAAAGAGACCCCCCAATTGCCAAGTACTTGCTTAAGACTGGGTGTAACATAGATCGATGCTCACCACAGACGTTTCTTTTCTTTCATTTTTAAGAAAGACAGCTAAATCTTTTATATGAATACAAGCAATTCAGTAAGAGTCAGATAAACTGTAGACATCCACAGCTTCAATTTTAGTTAAATTCACTTGTTTAAGAAATCAGACACATTTGATATTCCATTAGCTAATTAAAGATTTCAATATTTCTTATCATAACCTAAAGAGTTCAACAGCTTCATTTTCAGAGACTGAGTACATAAAGGTTATTTGAGGCCATGGCAATACGGACTATTTTCCTTGTCTTATGACACCAGCATAAATGTTCCAAGACAATTTAATGGGGACCTTCAGCTTTATTTTTGGTTAATCAACACAATACCACAGAATACTATCAGAGAGTGTTAATACAAACTCTAAATTCCAACAAGTACATCTAACAATTGCACCCAACTCACTGCACTGTCAATTCAGGAGGTCTGAATTAACATGCAGCTATTCCCCCAGTTCACCAAACCCTTTATGGACCAAACTATGAAATGCATCTCATCTGGAACTTGATTGGGACACTACCAGATTCCTTGGGCTGAACTCTGGATCATTTCAGCCTCTTCCTGCCTGACAATGTGTCACCAAACATTTTGATCATTGGGAGCAGTTAAGGAAACAGGGCTTGCCTAGGACCTATTAGAAGGGGTATTCTAGGCTGCAGAGGGCAAGGAAGACCTTCTCTGTGGATGAAGAAGAAGAAGAAGAGATTGGATTTATACCCCGCCCTTCACTTGGAGTCTCAGAGCGGCTTACAAACTCCTTTCCCTTCCCCTCCCCACAACAGACACCCTGTGAGGTGGGTGGGGCTGAGAGAACTCTGACACAAACTGCTCTTTCAGGAACAGCTGTGCCAGTGCTTGTGACTGACCCAAGGTCACATCAGCAGGTGCAAGTAGAGGAGTGGGGAATAACCCGGTTCTCCCAGATTAGAGTCCGCACACTTAACCAAAACACCAAACTGGCTCTCCCATTCCCATTCACTGGGAGAACTTTGTGGTGGGTCCTAGACATTGTTTGTTCTTTGAATATTATTAGTTTACAGTAGGGGCAGGAACTGAAGTGCTGATTTGTCAGTGTATGGAGCTAAAGAATATGTGGGGGGTAGCACCACATGTGATTGTGCTACCACCATCTTTTGAGCTCTGTCCTTCTGTCTAACAGTAATTATGGCATCCTGGATGGCCATTCTTCATTTTGTCTTCCCATCTTTGTTTCCATTTCAGAGTAGAGGAGAACATTTAAGATTTGCAAGAAGAGGATACCCACTAGTAAAACATTGGATATATTTGTACTTCAGTGCCAGTCTACCTTGTTCCACTGCTTCACAGTGGAAATACCTTGTTTTAAGCACATGCATATCCAAAGCTTCCACAACGAAGTACTTTAGGATCATCTATACAATTGACAGAGGTAGCAATCAGCAATTTGACACACAACCCCCAAAAATATTCTGCAGGAAGATTTTGCAGAGTCTCTTCTGACAGCAAAGACTGTGGATAAGCAAAGGCTGGCACATGCTGAGATCCTTTCACAAAGGAAAGGAAAAGAGCTATATACAGAGATTGCTGCTGGTGGTACTCTACTACAATGGCTGTCTGCACACAAGTGCTGCTTTCAGTATACGCTATTCATAACCAACTTTTGCTGCATGCTGTGCTATACTTGCGACTCCAGACAGAAATCCTAATTTTACCACAGCCCAATTATTTAGTATACACTTCTATTAGGATTCTAATGAAAAATTTAAAAATGCTACTTTAAAGCTCTGTTCTAGCATGTTGCGATTTGGTGTCTCATAACATTTGCCATGCAAATAACTAAGTTAAGGTAAAGGACTACACTTTTAAACCAAGTACATGACAGATGCTGAGTTTATAAACAGGCAGAGCTTTACAATATATCATGTCATTGTTTGCTTAACCTGCTTTAACAATAAGGAAGTTCAAAACAAGCATCAGCACCTTGCAAAAACTCTGGGGTGATCTTGATTTGCAAGACAATAAACATGTTTTTATTCAAGCAATCAAGTGCTTGCCTGTTATTGTAAGGAGTATTTATCAGTCTCTGAGCATCAACGACTATCAAAGCTAGCTAGAAAAAAGCCATTATAAATGAGGGTATTTCCTCATTACAAATCACTGCTATAATGAAAAAGGTAGACCAAGGAATTCAGTCTGATAAAGGGTACTGCTTTAGACTATAGGGAATCCCCTAAGATATAAGGAGATACTTTAAAAGACAAATTGATCCATAAGAAAATTAGGGAGGCAGAGGTAGCTTTTATCCTGCCATCTGTTTCAGAAGATGGAAAATTTTGTTGGGCAGGGGGAGAATTTTTGCCAGCCCCCCATCAGACACCCACCTTGCCCTCATGCTGACTATGAAGGTCTCCTGATCCCTCCAAAGAATTCCTGGGGGCTCTACAGCCTGCAGTGGAAGTAAAAAGCTCTGCTCAAGGATCTTACAGGTTACAAGTCAACAAAACAGACCAAGCCTTGGGTTGGCATATAGTACGCTACATCTCACCTCTTGAATGCCTGCAGCACACAAGGAGCAGAACTGACAGCACTCTCTGGAGCTACCTCTTTGCTGCTATTCTCGAGTCCAGCAACCATAATTAGCTCAGCGTTAGTCTGCAGTACTGTGGATGTTACCTATGCTTCTAGAAAAGGATTCCTCTCTTTGGGAAAATACATTACACTATAATGATGAAGCATGTTTTAGATAAAACCCTTCTGCAATACTTATTCTGAATTGAAAAACAAATTAACTCCTGTAAATTTCATGAAACAGTAAAATATTTCACATGGTGTTTAACGGAATGTTAAGCATAAAAGGATACATTGCAAAAGCTAGAACAAGCAGGCACCAGACGATACTAATATTCATTTCTTGCAAGGGCTTCATCCAGCTGTAGTAGGCCTCAGTTACCAAATACACTACTGTAGCTGCAACTGTGAAGTCCACCAACCACTGATATTCAGGAAAGTAATGTAATGCTGAAAGGTAAAAGGTTCATCCAGTATCAAAGACATATATAAAGCTATAAGCATTGGCAAAGGCAGTTTTTAGATTTTTGACTCTCAAAAGCTTATATTCCCAAAATCTTGTTAGTCTCTAAGGTTCTTCTGGACTCAAATCTAGCTCTTCTACTCCAGGCCAACATGGCTACCCTCTAAAACTACCCAGGTGACATTAGAATCTTTCAAGGAAATTCAAATGGTTTTCTTTTCCCTGACTCACATTCAGGAGACAGAACAAAGATTGAGTCCAGTGGCACCTTTAAGATCCACAAAGTTTTATTCAAGGTAGAAGCTTTCATGTGCACACATGCTGACAGTAATTAACTGAGACTTTGTCAATATACATAATGGCAGTTAATTACTCTCAGCATTCCACAATTAAGGATCTGCCCAATCAATCTCCAATTTTGATATACTTATTTCCTTCACAATGTTTCCCCCCAGAATTAAACCCAAACAAGTGGTAACCATATAAACTAACCTTGTTATTCCTGTTTGGCCCTTGAATCTGTTAAACATCTTCATTATGCTGTATGCTAGTTTACTGCTCACCCTCTACCTATACATATGGACTGGTCATTTCCATTTCATTGTATCTGAAGCAGTGTGCATGCACACAAAAGCTTACACCTTGAATTGAACTTTGTGGGTCTTAAAGGTGCTAGTAGACTCAAACTTTGTTCTGCTTAAGACTAACAGAGCTACCCACCAGAATCTATTCAGGAGACAAGGAAGATGTGAGAACCTTGAGCTCATGACTCTATGAGATCCCAAACAATAAAGAATAGTCAAGGTGGTTGGTCCCTTCAGGTTAATCAAACCCATTCTTAAGCATCCACGAAGATTCCACAGCCAGACAGAGCCATCAAGTTGCCTCCCTGAACTAATCAACAAAAGATAACACTATCTCCTGACACAGATCCCACAGTAGCTCTCAATTATAACTCCTAACCCTCCTCTCAAATCACATGACACCAGAAGTTCATGAATTTTGGAGAAAAGGAAGTGGTTCTTAAACTTACAGGCAATTCAGTTTTTCTGCAAAACTGGTTTCTACCACCATATTACATCTGCGCCCCAAAGATCCAGCTCAAGCTGTGAAAACAGGTATAGCATACACCCCCTTTAGCCTCTTACCACCCTTCACATCTTCCCTGTCACTCCTCTCCAACTCTCACTTTAAAGTGGTTACAGTCTCTTACCTAAAGTGTCTATTTCAGTAACAGATTTGGTTTTCAAATGAAGATCAATGTCCTTAGGAATGGTTAGTGGTTTGTTTTCAATGTGACCATTATATTTCCTGTAAAGGTACACATAACAAAAACAGTTTCATATTGTCTTAATACTCACATATGTATCAAAACAGCTTCATTTAAACCCACATTCAGACTCCGAGGAGGCTGAGTAATAAAATAGGGACTCTGCTTGAAGAAACAGTGGGAACACAAGGGGAGTGGGACCATGAATGAGACAGATTCATGGCAGAGTGTGGTGGGGAGGTGGAGACTAAAAGCAAAGCTGTAACTGTTCTCTCTGCCATTGAGGGACATCCCTGGAAGTGCAAAGCAACTTGCAAGTGCTAGCCCTAAACTGAGACAAGGGAATTAAATGTATAGGCTGCTGAACCAAACATAAGGAGTCATGATCTCCACCCTACCTGGGGTAGCACAAGCCCTTAATTTCTCCTTTGAATGAATGGGGGCAGGGGTAAAGGGCAAAATTAGGCTTACTCACTGTACACTACCTAGCATGTTGCGTCTGAGGGAACATCTCTCCTACCTGAAGTGAAAGGGGTGGAGAGAGAAAAAAGGCAGAACTGGGCTCAGAGGGCATGCTGTCTGAGTTCAAATCTATCTACACAACAAGCACCTGAGTGAAGTGGGAGTGAGCAGAAAACATATTCAATGAGTTCAAATCCCTCCCCGCAATGCTTCAGTGGAAGGGAGGAAGGTCAAAGGAATACGAAATCCTCTACCTTTCCCCACACAGCCCCACTTCCCCCATGACTGTCATGGAAGAACACATGTCTACTAATTTATGACACTGCCATATAATTGATATTAACTGTTTTGAACCTTTTTTGGCTAGAAAGATGGCTGAGAAATAAAAGCATATATTCCTGTGCAAGCGAACATCTGATTTAAAGACATTTCAAAGAACAAGGGTCTCTCAGAGTCACAAATGAACACTTGCAAAAAAAGAAATGTCAATAATGCTAACATAAAACAACTGCTCTTAAGACAACTAAGTTGTGCTACTGATATTAATGTAATTTCTCATTGTGGGAAGACTTAGAGCACCGAGTTATAGAAGAATCCTTGCCACAGAATCCAGCACTTACATTCTTTTGCCTTCTAGCTGTAGAGGAGATTTAGAAATCTACAGAGTCATAGCTACACAAAAGTACAGAGAAGAAGACCCCTGAGTATCTGATATAAGGCTCCTTGCTGAAAGGAGAACAGGTTTCCAATGCCCTCCACGGAATTAAAAAATTCAAGGAATTTTCTAATAGTAAGAGAGTTAATACTTCAGCTACCAGTCCCTTCATCTCTCAGCACTTCCTGACACCATGGTTTCGGTGGGTCACTGAGAACACATGGCTACTCCTCCTGGACTGCCAGCTCTTTAGGGCACAGAACAGCAGAGCGAATTCAAACTGTGTCGTTCTTCCTCTTCCTCCCTTCCAATTAGGCCAGCAATGTTCCTAGCTCTCTCTTATTACAGGAGCAGTGAAAGGAACAAGGCAAGCACTTGGGGAGATGCCCCTTCCCTGCCTTTTACTTCCCTTTAAATTCCACTGGGATTCACATATACATGATTATCCTGGGATGCACATAAATATATGGACATACAGCTTTCCATTTGTAAAATAGGAACAGCTCTTTCTATTCCTTTTGAAAGATCATTAGGAGAGTAGACAATCAACCCCATTTTATACAAAGGAAAATGAGGCTGCAAAATAGCAATGACCAAGCTGTTTCATGTACCTGTCTTTCTTGCCTTTGCCCTTTTGTTGCTTCCCTGCAAGAATGCGTAATTCTTCTTCCGTGGGATGCTGATACCATCGCAAACTGGAAGAAAGATGTTGAACGAACAAGTACCAGCAGAAATACAGGTTATTCATCAGTCTAGATACCAAAGTATCTGTTTTACTGTTCCTTAGCAAAATGTCTGATTTTAAGCAGATGTACTATCTGTCACACATTTCCTCATACAGAAATTACCATCTAGTTCACAGCCCAACTCATAAGAAATAAGTATCAATACCAGAATTATGTTCATACATACATGTTAAAAAAGTGGCAACATATTTCCCATAAGGTATTTCACATAAGGAGCATCTAACACTCCAGCTTAAAAAGGCACTGTGATTTACCCAATAAGGTTCCCAAATAATTTCAAATACATACAGTGATTTAAAAAGACTCCAGTGATTTCTTTTTGGGGGGTGGGAGAAGGTGTTTACTTCTACCCATTCTTTTTTTGGATGCATTTACAGTATTGACAATGGACTTGCTTGCCTAATGAACACTTTGCAACATTTCTTTTCTATCACACAGCTACTGCTGTCAGCAAAAAGGTCACATTCTCAGTAACCCAAACCGTTCAGAATAAAACATGCAAGACCAGTGTGCTATACTAAAAAAGTATGTGTCATGTTTATTTGCACAGTTTATTTTCGGCAAGGCAAATGGGACTTTGGCAAAGAGCACAAAGACACCCAGCCACTGGTGATGTATGAGATTTCAACTACTGCAGCTAAACTAGCAAGAGCACTTCCATAATGTTCCCCTAGGATACCCATGAACAATTCTAAAATCCCTCAGGAGCCTATAAAGGACAGACAAGGTTGCTGGTGTTTTAACAAACAGCAAGGGCCACTGCAGCAGCATCTCTTCTGCCTACATCCTGCTTCCACCGGTGATCTCCAGTGAAGTATTTCAACAACTGTCTGGTTTGACAAGCAGCAGTTGATGAGTACCAGATTCAGAACCCACCTCTGTATTTCCCAACCCGCCACCTGGCTCAGATGTCTCAGAATCACCCATCAATTCAGACTGCTACTGGGACAGAAACATTTTAAGATGAATGGGAAAATCATTAGTTAGTAAAACTAACCAGCTGAATACCTGAGCTGAACATATTTCACAGCCATAACCAAGTGTGATTGTTTAATGAGTAGCTTTAATCTATTTAAAATTAGGGGGGGAAATATAAATATTAATTCTCTCTTTGTGGAGGTTCAGTGCGCTGATATCAACAGACCAGTTTCCACATTTGAAGGTCTAGGACATCACTCTTTCTGATTTGCATATGATCAAGATACTCACTAGAACAAAATGGAAATTTATAACAATCCTGAACTCTTTATGAAGAGCATGCACACAAAATTGTACCTGCTAAAAATAACTGAGGGATAATGATAATTTGACTGATCTTTAATGTGATCTTAAAAAGACTAAGGATTTGCCACAAATAGTATGGTTGTCATTAATAACTGTATGTTTTCTATACAAGCTCTCGCTTCTTCCTTTAATTTCAATTCTGATTTCCATCTACAGGAGGTACTCCTTTTATTATTATAGGAACTGTTATAATATTCTTTATATAACAAAGAGAAAAGAGAAACATAATGAACAGACACATTAATTTCTTCAAAAAGAACATTGCACCTGTCAAGTCCATAAACAGGATACGTAATAGCATACCATGTATTTCTCAATATAATCTAATGTTACAATGCAGTGGCAATCTCTACACAAGACTCCGAAAAACTGAAAGCAAGTATTCTACTGAGAATCAAACTTTCCAAATCTGTGCTTTACTACAGTCTGTTTGAAAATGAAACCCACTGAACAACAGGACAATTACAAAAAGGAGTCGTATGGTAGCTTACATACTATTAAATGTATAACGGCAAAAGCTTTCAGGGGCTAGAGCCCACTTTGTCAGATATATGATTAGCTTCCCTTATCTTACCTGCCACTACAGAGAAGCCACCTTGCAAGAGAGTAGTGAGGTATGATCTTCTGTATAATACTAGCCATCACCATGGTAACCACCAGCTGCACACCTATCACACCCTGTGGAAGAATAAGCCAATGCATGTTAGAGCTCAGGAGCAAACTTTCCTATTTTGAAACCTACTTTTCACAGATAAAGATCCATGTGCTACACTTTATTTTGTCCAACTGTTTGAACTTAACCATTAGTCTTACATAAAAATGCAGCTGTCTAGAAATACAAATGCACACACTTATCTTCTATCTTAAACACAATTCTAAAAGTAAGTTTTGCCGTTATCTAATATACTTGATATTCAGCATACCACAATGGGAAAAATACTGAGTTTTACCTGAAAAGTTGTGGTTCAAAGCCCTACCAAGGGAATGACTCGCCAGCTGGATAACTTTGGGCCAATTAGCCATTCAGAATTATGCTTAGGTTTGTTCCAACTATCCTTTTTAACTTTAAAAAAAAATCACATCACAGGTGTCTTAGAGCTGCTTTATATGACGTGGTACACCAACCAGCATTTGATGTGGCAAATTCTGTGTTTGACACATGCTGCTAAACATTCAGGGAACTTCAGGGAACATGTGCTGGGAAGCAATGGCTTCACAGAAGATGTCCATTGTGTTGGAGACATACACTTTATATGCTTACCATGACAAATACCAGTATACTTAGGCTGCTGGTGTTAAATGAAGCAGCTCCATACTTTTTACTTTGCTTCACTGTGTGGGCATTTGGAACCACATGATAATTTTAACTAGGACAATCACATCAAGAACAAGAACAGATGTATGAGAACATTTGCAGCATCTAATGCAACCAATAATTCATAACAATTTCCAACACAGAATACCTCATGCTAAAGGTTAAAACGTTGCTTGAGGATTATGGCAATTTATGAATAAGGCATTAATGGGGTTGGGATGTCCATGTCTATTTTTAACATTATTGAATGACTATTAGAATAGTTCTTGGATAAAAAACTTTTGGAGGGAAAATGAGAAAATGTCAACTGATTCTTTCTACTTGCTGCATACCTCCACCCCCCCCCACCCCCGTGGTTCTTGCAGTTGTCCATCCACCAGGATCAGCACTACAGAAGGCATTTTGCACTGCAGCAGCAGGGAAGACACAAGCAAACTGCACTCAACTGACAGAAATCCTTCTGTTTAAGGAAATTTTTGGTGGGATCCAAGCCATTGCTTCTACCTATGACTTCGAGAATTAACACTTTTTAACTATTTAGTAGAGCTATCTCTTTTTTTTGTGGGGAGGCTGTCCATTGTGAGCTATGTACTTCAATTCACCCCACATTCCTGTTATTGCTTTAAAAAGCTTTGGAGGCAGCAACAACGTGTGAATGCCTGAACGACAACATAGAGATTGGGAATAATGGAAGAGACATTTAGAGGTGATTTGCCATCTTCTGCCTCTGCATCACAACCCTGGACTTCCTTGGTGGTCTCCCATCCAAATACTAATCAAGGCCAACAATGCTTAGCTTTCAAGAACTGGTGATATTGGGCCAGCCTGGGTTATCCAGGTCAGGGAAGTATCAGTTTAGTCAACTAAGAATGAGTATATATTTCAACAAGAAATATTACAAACATTTACCAGTATTTATGGAATAACTATTGTTCCTACTCTGGCCACTTCACATTGTATGAGGCAGCCAGGGAGACCAACATCTCTAACACTGAGTGGGATACCTACAGTCTGCAGCCCAGGAAAGTTTAGAAACTATAGTCACACCAGTTTAAGTAAAGCAACTTAAAACACATAAACACACACACAAAACACACCTGTGTTTCAAGTTATATTTAAAATAACTTCCTCCAGAAAGAAACTCATACTAGCCTGTTCCTAAACTGGGCGATACTACTATTAGAGAAAATTAAAGAATTCTATTACTTTCCAGTTTAATCTACTACAAAGGAATATTCAACGAAGTTGACCAAGTGACATGGGCCAGCAAGAGAACAACGACAAAAAGAACAGAAGTGCATGTTCGTCATGGAGCCAATTCAAATACTTTAGAAATGGCTTCACAGTACACGCCACAATTTCTGAATATTTGGAGGAAACAGTTTAGGACGAAAGCTAGGTTGGAAGTCTTTTCCCCACACATGCGTATGCAAAGCCAGTAAGAGTCTCTCCCCTTGACCTAATTAAAAAACCACTTTCAAACGTGTGACTCATCCTTACTGGTGCATTCTGAGGAAATACCTTTCTAGACATTTCAACTCTACTTCTTCAAAGCAATCCAGAAACAGATTGTACAGCTCCTTTCCTGGAAGTTATTATTTAGCTACAAAGCTATAAACATATTTCTTACTACATTAAAAGAGCTGTAGAGATGCATGGTGCTAATATGTAGGGGTGTGCGCATTCAGATCTACCCGAGCTGAAAATCCACCCAAAAAATACCTTACCAGTATTTTCCAGGTAAATTTCCACATCCCAAATGTATCTGGGTTTTCCCAGAGAAAATCCCAGATATACTTGGGAATTATCAGGTAGATCCAAAAACAACAGAGAGGCAGGAACATATTGTTTCTCAGGCTTCTAATGCAGTCCCTTTAAAGTTCAAAGGGACTGCACAAGACAGTCCAAGGATCAGCTTCGCCAGTGCGGAGCAGACTGTTTCCACGGACACAGTTTTGGGCTCATGCAGTCAGGTTTAGATCGGGCTGCAGAAGAAGCCAGTCCCAGGATATGCTATGCCGCTGGGAGCAGAGTGCTCCCTGCAGACTGGGCTTTGCACTGGCTTCTCCTGCAGCTTGGTTTAAACTGGGCTGCAGAAGCCAAGCCAGTCTCAGGATCTCCTGTGCCACATGGAGCACATGAAAATCGGACTGCAGGAGAAGCAAGCCCAGTCAGGATTGGCTGTGCCCACAGGGAGCAGATTGTTCCCCACCAGCTCAGCTTTTTGCTGGCTTCTCCTGCAGCCTTGTTTAACTGGGCTGCAGGAGAACCCAAGCCAGCCCCAGAATCAGGCTGGATTTTTAAAAATAGGTATTTTTCTTTACAAGTCTATTGGACCTGAAAAAAATTGCAATTACTGAAAAATCCCAGATCTAAATAACATACCAGTATTGGGATCCCCTCCCCCCTTTCTTTGAAATTCTGAATTTTTTGGGAGTCCAACAGACCCAAACCAAAAAACACTGATCAAAAAAATATTGCACTAATATGGCTAGTTTTGTGGTATTTGAGCCAAGGAATATAAAGAACTACCTCTCTGTTTGACACTACCACCGCTTTCCTTCTCTCAGCTTAGAGAAGCCACCAAGTCACTCTTTTATCTTGGAGTCAGTAGCTGTTAGGCCAAAGGAAGGACAGACAGAACCATGCATGCAGTCACTAATCAGACCTGATGAGCTGTAGGTGCTAGGCAACTACATGACAAATGCAAGTCAGCTTTCTCTTCTCTCACAGAATTAGCAGATCTTTAAGACCATAAAAGAGAACTGCATATGAGACTCCCATAGTATCATATAGCTTACCCCTAAACTTTTATCCTCTTACAGAGATAATCTAATCATTCTTTATCTCCTTTTTTAATTTCTTGAAGAAGGGCACTCAGAATTGTAGTACCCCAAGCCTCAACAATCAAGGAGAATTAGTCATTTTTTACTTCCTCAATAATGCCAACCAGTTAGGCAGCTGCTATATTCACAATGGTGCTGTTTCTATCGGTGATCCAACATGTCATTAGCTATGATCAGATGCGTGATGAACCTTGTGGTTTTCATGGGTCCAACAGGTTCATTACGATTTTCCAATCTTTGATTTGGTTTCTTGCTTTCTATGTCCTACTATTCATTTACAAAATCCCTAGATTTCATAGCCTCCTGCTTGTCTTTGAATCAGAGCCAATGATCATGTGGCTAAGGCATTCTTCCACCTTCATTTAGCCCAGAAGACAGTCCCCTGCTTTGAATATGCTGATCTGGCCATGTAGATTTTTATTTATGTATTTATTTAAAACCTTTATTACCCACCTTTCTTCCTTAGGGAGCTCAAGGTGACTTATAGAATAGATAAAACATATAAAATAAAATACATGAAAAACATTTTAAAAACCAAGATTCATAATCACAAGTCCTAAATAAAATCATCTTCAACTGCCCTCTAAAGAGCAAAAAGTGAGGAGCCAAGTGCAACTCCCTGGGGAGGTTGTTCCATAACCGCAGGGCTGCCACTGAAAAGCCTCTCTCTTGTATACCCACCAAATGAGGTTCTTTGGTTGACAGAGCAATGCTATAGTGAATTCAAGGCCAGAGTACTGCTATATACTCTGCATGGGTTTGTCCTTAAAGATAGCTGGGAAACTCCAATTGGTACAGAATGCTGCAGCTCAGATACTTCATTGGTTACCAATCAGTTACTGGGTACAATTCAAGGTTCTAATTATCACCTACAAAACCCTTAATGACCTTGGCCCACATATCTGCAGGACCTACCGCAACAGCTTTGCCCATGTGAGCAAAATCTTTTGAAGGTGCCACCCTACAAATGATTAAGACCAGCAATGGCCCACTCATGTGTGTTCTCTGTGGTGGTGCCCACTTTGTAGAATTAACTGACTAAGGAGGTCAGGAAAGTCCTCATGCTTCTATAATTCCACAGAATATGCAAAACAGAAGTGTCCAAGATGGTATTTTTAAAAAGTGATTCGAACTACAGCATAATGGAACGATGTGTTAGGTCACTTTATAATGGCTAGGTTTGTGGACTGTTGAAATGTTTTTATATGTTATCACCTTTCTTTAACTGCACTGCCTATAAGTTTTGTTGCCCACTGTCTATGTTATGATATGTCATGATTTCAATATTTTTTCCCTTTTGGTTTGCATTATTGTCCAATTCTGTAATCCTATTGTACTGTTAACTGGAGTCCACTGATCTGTAATCTGCCTTCATAGAATCATGGAGTTGGAAGGGGCCTCCTGGGACATCTAGCCCAAACCCCCGCACAATGCAGGAAATTCACAAATACTCCCCCCCAACAAATACCCCTGGTCCATGCCCAGAAGATCACTTCAAATTACAGGATCATAGACAG